TTGGAAGCCCAGCGCCACTCAGCAGTATGCGCACTGCAGAAAGACACCAACGACGGCAAACTTCATGCGGAAATCGACGAGTTGCGCAAGTGGATGCGAAAACTGAAATCAAGGCCCGGGAATCGCGCACGCAATAACTCCGGATCGCTCCGCGTTCTGCTACTATCACAGCAGATTTGGCGCCAAAAAAGCCACTCTGTCTGGCGGGCAAAATGGGGGCTACCAGTGGTCGATTATTCGTAACGGACCAAACTTCAAAAACTAGATACTTGATCGATACAGGCGCTGATTTCTCTACTCAGTCAACTTCGGCCTACGCAGAAAAAAGGTCTGGCAATTTGTCATCGCTCACGTCGCCAAACCAATCATTGGAGCTGATTTCCTACACGAATACGAGCTGCTGGTCGACGTACGCAGAAAACTCCTTACGGACAGCTCTACAAAGCTGTACATAAGGGGCACAGCGTGCAGTGTGGAATTCGAAAAACTACTCACTGTGTCTCCAGTGACCAACGACCGTTTCGAAGTACTGCTACGCAAATACAGCGACTTGACCATGCCCTGCAAGTACGCAGCACACGATGTAAAGACGACAGTGCAGCATCACATCTTCACAAGGGACCAGCCCCTAGTATCAAAAGCGCGTCGGCTGAACACTGAAAAATTAGCTATAGCTAAACGAGAATTTGACTACATGCTGAAGCAGGGCATTTGCAGTCCAAGCAGCAGCCAATGGGCAAGCTCACTTCACATGGCAGCCAAGAAGAACAAAAACGAATGTCGGCCATGCGGCGACTACAGACGGCTGAACCATATCACAAAGCCAGACAGGTATCCATTACCGCATATTCATGATATCCCATACAAACTCAGTGGCAAGTCAATCTTCACGACAATTGATCTGGAACGAGCATATCATGATATACCAATAGCCCCAGAACACCGCAGCAAAACCGCAATCGTCACTCCATTTGGACTATACGAATTTAATGTAATGACATTTGGGCTATGTAACGCTAGCCAAATATTTCAACGATTCATTGACCAAATATTTCGTGATATGGACAATGTCATAGTCTACATTGATGACATCTGCATCGCATCGCAAAATGAGGAGGAGCATTATCAGCACGTCAAGGATGTGCTTGGCAGACTACGGCAGCATGGACTGACTGCAGACGGCTGAACCATATCACAAAGCCAGACAGGTATCCATTGCCGCATATTCATGATATCACATACAGACTCAGTGGCAAGTCAATCTTCACGACAATTGATCTGGAACGAGCATATCATGAGATACCAATAGCCGCAGAACACCGCAGCAAAATCGCAATCGTCACTCCATTTGGATTATACGAATTTAATGTAATGACATTTGGGCTATGTAACGCTAGCCAAATATTTCAACGATTCATGGACCAAATATTTCGTGATATGGACAATGTCATATTCTACATTGATGACATCTGCATCGCATAGCAAAATGAGGAGGAGCATTATCAGCACGTCAAGGATGTGTTTGGCAGACTACGGCAGCATGGACTGCGCATAAACGACTCAAAATGCATCTTTGGGCAACCACAAGTGGATTTCCTGGGCTATCATGTCACAAAGACCGCCATAACTCCGACCAAGGATCGGATACAGGCAATCATAGATTTCAAAAGACCTACACTGGCGCACAGTAAAGTTAAGCACAGTACTGACCGACCATAAGCCGCTTACCTTTGGTTTTCTGCAGAATCCAGACAAAACAACACCTAAGCAAACTCGACAGCTTGCAACAGGTTATTGATCATTCTTCCCTACAGCTAAAACAAATCCAACTTTACGACTCAACGACATTATTAAACTGCGACATTTCGTCAAAACGATCCGTCCGTATATCACACACAGCTACCGTAAGCAAGTCTTCAATTCCATTCATAACTTATCGCACCCAGGTAAGCGCGCTACAGTGAAACTCATAACCGAACGTTTCGTCTGGAGAGACATGAAAAGAGATTTAGCTCAAATGGTCAACAACTGCATCAGCTGCCAGCAGGCAAAAGTCAACAGACACAACAAAGCAGCGCTTCAAGAATTCAACCTGCCCAAAAAGCCATTTGAACATATCCACATTGATCTAATTGGCCCGTTGCCACTGTCCAACAATTACAGGTACTGTCTGACGTGCATTAACCGGTTCTCAAACTGGCCGGCGGCAGTCCCAATAGCAGACATAATGGCAGAGACGGGAGCTAAAGTTTTATTGCATGGTTGGATTGCAAACTACGGCACGCCACACTTCATAACTACCGATCAAGGCAGACAGTTTGAGTCCAAATTGTTTAAGGAACTTACTCAGTTGACGGGATCCAAGCATCTGCGAACAACAGCATACCACCCACAAGTCAACGGCATAGTGGAAAGAATGCACAGGACGCTGAAGACCGCCATTATATGTCACAGAGACTCCAACTGGACCGATAGCCTTCAACGCCTCTCCAACGGAAATGATTTCCAAAAACCTACCGAAGAGTACATCGAAAGTGAATTCATCAAGCGCCTACGTTCAACCATGTCCCAACTGAAGCCCGTAAATACATCACACCACACTACTACCAAAGTATTCGTTCAAAAGGATCTCAAAACATGTACACACATTTTCCTACGGGATGACACAGTCAAAGCAACATATGAGGGGCCATTTCTAGTTATCAGCCGCAACGATAAGCAATTTGTAATCGATATCGACGGCAAGCATAACACTGAAACCATCGACCGTGTTAAGGCAGTTGGAAGCAAACGATGCAACATCATCTTCACCTGCAACTAACTGCAACATTCAACACCCCATTATTACCACTCGTAGCGGACATGAAGTACGTCCACCCAAAAAATACGTTGAACGAGTTCGGAACTGGATCAGCTCTCGGTTGCCAAAAACTACTTACTAGAAACAGTCATGAAAATTGCTAAATCATACAAAATATATTCATACTTTGTTTTTAATAAATAAAATATGCGAGTAAAGTCGCACAAGGATTTGCTACGATCGCAAAACCTTTAACAGACATCTTAAAGGGCGAAAATGGCAAAATACATGCCAACCACTCAAAAAAGGTCAAGCTCTACTTGGCAACAGAGCAATTAAAAGCTTTTCATAAATGGAAGAACATACTACAGTCAGAGGACGTCATGCTTGCTGATTTAGCCAACCGTTTGAGTTAACTACAGACGCTTCGGTACATGACTTAGGGGCCGTTATATCGCAAAATAAGCGTCCAATTACCATGACGTTACGCGGTAATGAGGTAACAATGAGTGAAAACTTCTCGCAATTGTATGGGAGTTGCAGAATTTACGCAATTACCTTTACGGTGTCAGAAAATTAAACATTTTTACTGACCACCAACCTTTAACCTGGAATGGAAATTACGTTGCTGATGCTCTATCACGACAACATGTTAACGCCTTAGAAGATTCGCCAGATTCAGATGTTGCCACTATTCATAGTGAGGAATCCCTCACTTATACGATAGATACAACAGACAAAACAGTCAAATGTTTTAGGAACCAAATCGTAATTGAACAATCAGTCTTCCCATCTTTTAAAATTCTCATACTCTTTAAAAATAAAATACGACACACAGTCTCTATGACAAACATTAAAAGATATATTTAAAGCAGATGCCAATATTGGCTTCCATTCAACATAAATTAGTTGAATCATATTCAACAACCACATTTAGGCACGCCAAATAACTTGTAGTGGATATTACCACTAAAACTGAGCAGAGAGAGATCATGACAATGGAACATACAAGAGCCCACCGAGCAGTGCAAGAAAATATGAAACAAGTACTTCGCGACTACTTTTTCCCCAAAATGAGCCATTAATGATCAGAAATAGCTGCAAATTGCGAAGCTTGCTCCATGGCAAAATACAACCGCCACCCAAAACAATAGGTCATTGGAAAAACACCCATCCCATCATATACCGATGAAATTATCCATATCGATGTTTTTTCTACGGACAAAAAGAATTTTCTAACATGCATCGATAAATATTCTAAGTTGGTCTATTGATTCAAGAGCGATCGTAGATATCAAAGCACCGATACTTCAATTAATAAACATATTTCCAAAAATAAAGACTATCTGTTGTGACAACAAAAAGTCACTCAACTCTGAAACCATTAGTTCCATTGCAAAAATTTTCGAAAAACAAATTTCTAATGCACCTCCTTTGCACAGCCCCTCAAATGGTGTCGAAGTCGAAAGATTTCATAGCACGGTGTAAGAAGATCGGTCGGAAGGTACACGAAACCATAGACCGTATTCTACTCTCAGCTACAGAATACAATAAAACAATACATTCGGTCATAAACAAAAAACCAGTTGAAGTCATCCTTGCAGCCCCAATAGAATTTGAAACACATATCAGAGGCAAAATTCAAAAGCTCAGGACGAGAAGTTAAGGCAATCAAGCTCGGACAGAAGTAACAGAGAATATCAGGTTGGCTACAAAGTTTGGTTAAAAATCAACGAACCACTTGGAAATAAATTTACACCGATCTGGGCACGGCAGTTCTTATTAAGGGGTGGTCCATAAGGACAGCATTAAGTAAGCTGTTTTGAGGAGATGCTAGTTTGCACCCCACTTCGGCTCCTTTTATGTTTTATAAATTTTAATAAAAATCAAGGAGCCTTTAGACTGCTTGTAATGCGTGATTTACTTATCGAACTTTCAACAATAACTATCGATAGATTAGTGATAAGCAATTTACAATGGTATTTTATGGTGGTTTAAAAATAATAGTATGTGTCTTCAATATCGTGATTTGAGAAGTTAAGATATAATGTAATTCAGATATAAAATTATTCAGAATCATGCTGCGAACATGCTCCCCCCGTTGGAAGATACAAGCTTTCAACCGATGTGGTCTCGATTGAAAGCTCTCTTGACCAGACCATTTTGTGTACGAATGACTGCTACTCTCACAATGCCGTCGTCACCCGTGATGACGCTGTCGACTCGACCAAGCGGCCACCTGAGTGGTGCATTGTCCTCCTTGAGCAGCTCGATGCTGCCGGCCTGAAGATTTGGCTTGGACGATCGCCATTTCCCGCGCTCTTGGAGCAACGACAAATACGATGTACTCCATTTCTTCCAAAATGATTGCTGCATGTGACATATTCGCTGCCAACGGCTGAGGCGACCTATGCTTAGGTGAGTTATGTCTGGCTCGCATTGGCTTTGACCCAGATGAAGTGCCCAGGCGTGAGTATCTCCAAGTCATTCGGGTTTTCTGTAATAGAGCAAAGCGGTCTTGAGTTAAGGATTGCGGATATTTGACAGATGAGAGTTCGGAATTCGTGGAATGAGAGAAGAGAATTTCCAACGACGCGGTAAAAATGATATTTTGCTGACTTGACAGCGGCCTCCCACAATCCTCCAAAATGTGGCGAACGGGGCGGAATGAATTTCCAGTTGATTCCCAGAGCTAGGCAGTTGCGAACAATCTCATTGCGCTGGGGATCGCTTATAAACAGGTCGCGCAGTTCCTTCAGCTCATTTCGAGCACCCACGAAATTTGTGGCGTTGTCTGTCCATATTGTATGCGGTTTCCCTCGAAGGCTGATGAATCTCTTCAAGGCAGCGATAAACGATGACGTGGACAGGTCCTCTACCAACGCTAAATGCGTTGCTTTAGTTGCAAAGCATATAAAAATTGAGATGTAGCATTTTTTTTGGTGAGCGATTCCTGACCTCTGATTTGAAGTAGAAAGGACCGCAAAAGTCGATGCCAGTTACGTGAAACGTCGGACTTGGCTGCACACGCTCAGCTGGTAGCGGGGCCATGACTTGCTCCAGAAGTTTAGGTCGCATTCGAAAGCAGCGCACGCACCTGTTGATGATATTTGAGACAGCCTTGAGACCTCCGATGGGCCAGTATCGCTGGCGGAGTGTTGCGGACCAGCATGAAGAAATTCCAAATGATAGTATGTGATCATAGCTGCGGTGACTGGGTGGCGCTTAGGCAACAATAACGGATGCTTCGCTTCATATTCCAAGTTTGAGTTCTGAAGGCGCCCGCCGATGCGCAAGAGTCCCTCAGCGACCAACAGTGGGCACAATGAAAGAAGTTTGCTTCTTGTTGGAAGCGGTCTTTTCAAGCTGAATGCTTTGTACTCTTCGGCGAAGTGCGTAAGTTGAATGTTTTTTATAAGTAAATGCGTTCCGCACTTGATATCATCTGGAGTGAGTGGACCTTTTGAACACGTCGAATCAGATCTTTTTAGCACTATAAATCGATACACGTATGCGAAAGTGCGCTGTAACTTGGCAAATGTGTTCTTGAATTTACAAGATGCCGATAGGTCCGTCTTCGTTGATAGTACCAGCACTTTCTGGCGTCGTTCTGGAAGCTCAAAGGGATAGGCGACGTTTTGAGGCCAAGTTGAGCTAGCGGACTGTATGAATGGCCATTATGCCATAGCTGTGAGTCTAAACGTTCCAAAGTCCACGTGATAAAATGTCCGCAGGGTTCAGCTGAGAGGGTACATGATGCCAGGTCATGCCCTTGGTCCGCTCCTGTATTTGTGATACCCTGTTGGATACAAAGACGTTAAACTTTGAAGGTGATTCACGAATCCACGCAAGCGCTACTGTTGAGTCGGTCCAGCAATGATATCTGCATTCGAACTGAATGCACTTGGCAATGTTTCCTATGAGCTCTGATAATAAAAGTGCAGCTGACAGCTCAAGCTTTGGGATTGTCAGCGTCTTTAATGGGGCGACCCTTGATTTAGACCATAGCAAATGTGATGAAAATACCCCTTGCATTTCGGATCTGACAATACGCAAGCGCCATAAGCGGCTGTGCTGGCGTCGCAAAATCCATGCAGCTCATACGTAGCCAGCGGCATCAATACAAAACGGGAGAATTTCAAGCTGCTGACAAATGAGAGTTGCGATATGAGTTTGATCCATTCGAAGTGCAGCGACTGCGACAGGCATTCGTCCCAATTGACCCTTTCCTTCCACAGTGCTTGGAGAAATACCTTTAACCTGGTAACGATGGGCGCGATCAATCCGCGATCAATCCGAGCGGATCGTAAAATCTCGCTATCATTGATAATATGCTCCGCTTTGTAACTGATCCTTCGGGTACGATCTCCGCAAAGTTGAAAATCAGGCTATCAGAGCTAGGGCTCCAAGCTAAACCAAGCACCTTTGCAATTTTGGTGCCATCCTTGAACTCCATTAGCTTCTCACAATCGGATTCGCTTTCTCCTTTTAATGCATCAGGCTCGTTTGAGCACCACTTTCTGATTGGAAAGTGACCTTTAGCCAGTAGCAGTTTTACTTGCTGTCGGATCTGAATGGCTTCTTCTATAGAGTCCCCTCCAGAACTTAAATCGTCTACATAGAAGTCGCGACAAACTATCTTTGCAGCTAGTGGAAAGGTAGGCTCTTCGTCGTGGGCCAGCTGCTGCATCGGTCGAATTGCTAGAAACGCAGCGGGTTTGGTTCCATACGTTACTGTATCCAGGGTGTACGTCCTTATGCTTTCATTTTGATGATTACGCCATAAGATGCATTGCAGAAATTGATCTGGATGCGTTATTCGGACACAGCGGTACATCTTACAGATGTCACCGCACACGGCAACCCTTAAAAAACGAAACTGAATTAGAATGTTGAATAATTTGGGTTGAAATGCTGGGCCTGTATGCAAGAGATCATTCAGAGATGCGCCTGATGTGGATTTGGCTGATCCATCAAAAACGACGCGCAATTTGGTGGTAGAGCTATCTTTTCTACGCAGTGGTGGGGTAAATAGAATTGTGGGTCAAGCTGCTGCTTGGAAGCCAAAGACATGTGGCCCAAGTCGATGTATTCGCACATGAATGCAGAGTAGCTCTCCTTCAGCTGGTGATTTTTGTCCAATTTGTTTTCGAGCGACTTGAAACGTCGTAGAGCGTAGGTTGTACCGCAGCAATTGTCGACTTCCCAGAATCGTTTTTCGATGGATTGTGGATCCTCCCATGAATTAGGTTCCATGTAAAGGGCTGAAAGGGATGTGTGTTTGTTGTGTACTCGAGAGAGTCCGCCAGACGCAATCCATCCGAGCTTGGTCTTTTGGAGCGTTGGTAGGTTATCCGCCATTCGAATTTGGCCGATGCAAATGAGATCGAAAAATAGTCCGGCACCATGTAATAAATCTATTCTTTGAGATTTGAAAAACGTTGGATCCGCGAGCGAGATGTTTTTGGGGATATTCCACCCACTACTGCGAGTAACGACTGCTGAAAATGATGTGCTGAAGCTCCTATCACGTGACTGCGCTGATATGTCAGTGGACATGTTAGAAGATAGGGTTGATTCGCCTATACCAGATATTGATACGGCACCATGATGAGTTGGAACTGCTTTACTAGACGAGCAGTGATAAAGTTGAGTTGAGATCCAGAATCCAGTAATGCACGGCAGGGTATGAATACACCTGAGTGGCTCTTGGCATATAAGATGGCGGTTGGAAGCACCACATAGTCTACAGGCTGGGCATTCGTGGCTTCAGGTGCGAATTCAAGAGCAGTGCTGACGAGAGTTGAAGATGGTGGATTACTTAAAGACGATGCGTGAGGCTGGATCGTGGTTGCAGCCTGCAAGCTTGGTGTACACAGGGCAGATGATTGAGTTGTGATGGGGCTCATGTGCAGCAACGAATGATGTTTTGGTTGACAATGCCTGCAGTGACCTGAGCGACATTGCTGCAAGCCATGGCGTTTGCGCAAGCAGTTTAGGCAAAGATGCAATCGCTTGGCCTCCTTGTGGCGCAAACTTGGGGACAGTTTCAAAAACAACGGGCATTTAACAAGAAAATGCTCTTTTGAGTCTCAAAAATTACAAAATTGCTGGTAATTGTTAGATGAGGATGCAATGAATGTGTGACGATTCAATTTTTGTACATTTCTGGTAACCTGGTGGCTAGGCGTAGGTGCCGTAGCGCCTTTCAAGTTTTCCATCATGCGGCATCTCTTCTCTAAGAACGCCGACATATCCGTCCACCTGGGTAGCTTATCCGTTGCAAGCGCCTCCTGCCACTTTTCCTGGGTGTGGTGATCAAGCTTGTGCGATATTGTGTGTATGAGTAATCCGTCAGCCAGCTCCTCAGTTGTTGACATGGTGCTAAGCGCCCGAAGATGAGAGTTAATTTTGTCACTCAACTCACGCAACGCCTCTGCTGATCCCTTTTCAACACCTGGCAGCCCGACTATAGCCCGCAAGTGGCCCTGAAAATGTAGCAACTTATTATCAAAACGCTTTATGAGTAACTCCAACGCTTTGTCGTAAATCACGTCGACAGGCTCTAACGATTTGATTCTGTTGAGAGCAGCAGTAAATGTTGTAATTTCTCAATCTTACTCAGGTCCTAATTGCTGCCAATGACAGTCTTGTACATGGCGTAAAAATCCGGCCAATCCTCGTAGGAGTCGCTGAACCTGGGCAGCTGCAATTCCGGTAGGCGAGACTTACGGTTGAACAAGTGAGCAAATGTGTGCGTACTTTCAGCAAAGCGTGGGATAGTTGTTGAATTGGCGTCAGTCGTACGTCCCTTAATGACTACATCCATTTGACAAGCGAGAGTGGATTTGATCTTCCAGTAAACCTTCTCGAAGTCTGAGCGTGCGTCCGTTGAAAGCTCGAGCAAATCTAATTTTTCTAGCCTTGACTGGCTGATATCAAACTCGGCCTTCATGCTCTCCGCAGATTCTATACGCACCATCAGATCGGCCTCGTCAAAGCTGATCATCTCACCAGCGCTGAAGAATTCGTTCATTGCTAATAGTTGGCGTTGAACAGAAGCGCATTTGGCTTTGCAAAAGTCTTTTTCACTTGTCGAATTTTCGATTCTCTTGTTGGCGAGGTAATGTTCGGTTGGTACGTTTTGTTGAGTGCTCACTGTACTCCGGCCTGTCACCAAAATCCACTTATGGAGAAGAGCTTTGCCCTTGACCACTGCGAATGTCACAGAGTGAGCAGTGCGAGAATGCGATTACCATTTTATGTGTGCAGCGGCTTGTGTATGTGTATGTATCGAGATCAATTGTAGCGGCACTTGCATTCACATTCATATGTATGTATGTAAGTATGTAGGTATCTGCTCGACGGTTTCTTTTCTAAGCAAACGGTTGTGCTTGGCACTGATATGCACCAAACAGCTTGGTTATAATAGCCGATCTGCTAAATAACGCGATAAGATCGTTAGAGAGAAGCGAGCAGGTGTGCGAAATATGTACATACATATGTACATATGTCTGTACTTGAGTTTAGTGCCTATGCTGCAGCGGCAAAAGAGCGATGAACAACGAAAGTAAGATTTGCGGCAAGACGAGAAGCAAGAAAAAAAATCACGTCGGGGTTGAGGAGATGCTAGTTTGCACCCCACTTCGGCCCCTTTTATGTTTTATAAATTTTAATAAAAATCAAAGGAGCCTTTAGCCTGCTTGTAATGCGTGATTTACTTCTCGAACTTTCAACAATTACTATCGATAGATTAGTGATGAGCAATTTATAAAGGTATTTTATGGTGGTTTAAAAATAATAGTATGTTAAAAATAATAGAAATGTAATTCAGATATAATATTATTCAGAGGTCGTTCTGCTGCGAACATAAGCAAAACACCACTTTTCACATTTGTTCCGTACTAATTCCAGAAACGTATTATTTTATATTTAAGGCTAAAGCAGTTATTACCCACAACACTTCTGACGATCTTTTCCTTTGTTACTGACACCTTGAAACTTAACGATTACCCACACCCGAAATACATACCCATAATAGACAGTGACGTAACAATCTGAAACGAAAACGTTTACTCAGGACATACAACTAACGTGACATCTTTCGAAATCTACTCCGAAGAGACCAGAAATACCATGGACTTCTTCAATAATGAACACATGAGACAGATTATCACCACGACCTCAGAAACATAGAGATATTACTGGCAACAGTAAAGCTTCTATCGTCATGCTCGTAGTCTAAATGTACTGGGCACCGCACTAAAGGTAATAGCAGGAAATCCCGATTTTAACGATTGGGAACAAATTAAGTTCAAGCAATGTCAGCTAGTAAATTCAGAAACTAACCAGGTAGAAATAAACACCAAAACTTAAAGTAAGCTTAACGAAATTACAAGCTCCTTAATCGTCATTCAGAAAACAGACGGTCTGGACACTGAACATTTGCACGAAACTATTTTGGAAAAAAATAAAATAATAATAACAGATTTAGAAGATTAAATACTCGCAATCGCTTTGTCAAAAATAAACTTGATCAGCCCTTCAATTCTGGACGTTAATGAAATAACGAATGAACATCTCACGAATGCCAGTGTAGCAGATATTTTAGAAGTAGCTAACATCAAAACCTTCCGAAAAAACGAAAATTCATTGTATTTTCTTATTTAATTCCTAAAACCAAAATTAGGTTGCAAAAAAATAAAGTTTATCCAGTCCAGCATGATAGCCGAATTTTAGATTTTGAAGAAGGCAATACGGTCGCTGAGTGTGGTACGAAGACCTTCGCTGTCAGCGAGTGTGATCCAACAGTGGGCACTACTTTCTCCAAAAGATCGCAGATGTCAACCTGAGCTCAACAACTTGTATCTGGAATTGTCGAGCACTCAACCGGGCCACTTGGACTCGGTTACTGTGGTCGACGAAGGGATGATATGCGGTATCCGCCATGGCCCAAGTCAACGTTACTAGGCATCTGGAACGGCTCAGTTTAGCTTCCATTTATGAACTGAGCATGAAAAACATCCAGCACATAGGTGACCTACAGACCAGGTTGCCAGCCAGGCCAATATTGAGCAGCTGCGATACCCTGGCCGTAGTTTTCTTCCCTAACATCATCATCTGTCTTGTTCTCCGCCGTCTGAAAATCAGACGCCAAACCGAGCTAGCCGAGGCATTGACTTTATCTTTACAGAAATCCGAGGACGGCCTTCATTTGACCAAGAGAGGAGTTAACACAAACGATTCACAAAGTGTCGCAAGAGCAGATGTGTGCGCTACAAAGTAGCCAACAATGCAACATAGCGATCGACGAAATCTGACCCCAGCATGAGCGCTTAAGTTTCCAGGCTAAGAACGGTTAATTTTTATACTATTCTCGAAGCTACATGTCAAGTTTGGTGACTCTAGCTCTTATTATTTACCAAAATTTCTCAAAAAATAGGATTCGATATCGATTTTTATCGATTGCTTGGAAACGGGGCAAGTTATCGAATATAGGAAACAAATTCTATCTGCGCGGACACTAGGAGGACCTACAGCTAAAATTTTCAACTCTCTACCTTCTTCTCCTTCTTCTGAGATCCTTGCGCTCCCACATCCGACGGACAGACAGACAGACGGACATGGCTAGATCGACTCGGCTATTGATGCTGATCAAAAATATATAAACTATATGGGGTAGGAGATGTTTCCTTCTGCGGGTTGTATACATTTGCACAACTAAATAATACCCTTTTTAGCTATTTTTAATCGGTTCAGGGTATAACAACTATGAGTGCTCTAGTCGGAGCTGCCCGACTGATTCTGAACGAATGCTTTAAAAGGGTTACGGAACCTTTTCTTTTGGGGCAACGCCAATATTTCAGCGATTGTCTTGGTTGGGAGGGTAAAAACGAGGGATCAGGACACCTAATCCCCTAAACAGAGCGAAATGACCATGGTAGTCACATTCCTTTTAGATTGCGTGTCGGCGCACCAGATTAGCTTTGATGATTTCTTTCTGTCCGCGCATTAATATTATTATGTGTGTCAGCGTTTCCGTGCAGTTTGTTAAGAAGAACCTCGACCAATCCGACGAGCTAGACCAGAGCTTAGCTGGAATGCGCATATCGAACCAAATTGTACATTTTCCATTCTAGGGTACGCTTGTCCGAATTATAGGATCGCCGCCTGTACACTCCACTATGGGCGTTGCAGGTTTATTAAAGCAGAGGTTAAACAACTTCTCTCCGCTTGTAATAACCCAATATGGGTAGTCGATAAAAAAGGTGTCGACGAGTTGGTACACAAGAAGAAAAGTCTGGTAATAGATTTTTGAATGCTAAACCAGCAGACTATTGGCGACAAATACCCTATACCTTCTACAACAATTCTGTCAATCATAGTGAAAGCCCAGAACTTCACGACTCTGGACTTCAAATCAGGTTTCCACCAAATGGAACTGGCGGAGAAAGACCGAGAAAAAACAGCTTTTTCGGTAAACAATGGGAAGTATGAATATTGCAGACTTCCTTGTGGTCTGAAAACGCCCCCATGATATTCCAACGGGCAATTGATGACGTCCTGCGGGAACAAATCGGGAAAACTTGTTGTGCTTACGTCGACGACGTAATAATATTCTCCACGAGTAAAGAAGACCATGTTAGGGACATTGACAATGTCCTTAAAACATTGTATGAAGCAGGCATGAGAGTGTCTAAAGAAAAATTCAAGTTTTTCTAAAAAAGGCGTGGAGTACTTGGGATTCGTCGTGTCAACGGGCGGAACCACTACTTCACCTGAAAAGGTGCGGTCCATAAAATATTTTCAGCCCCCTTCTACATTGTTTAATTTCAGATCATTTTTGGGATTATCAAGTTACTACAGATGTTTCATAAAGGGATTTGCTGCGATCGCAAGATCGCAAGATAGGTGCCAACCACTCAAAAAAGGTCAAGCTCGACAGAGCTATTAAAAGCTTTTGATAAATGGAAAAACATACTACAGTCAGAGGACGTCATGCTTGCTGATTTAGCCAACCCTTTGAGTTAACTACAGACGCTTCGGGACATGGCTTAGGGGCCGTTATATCGCAAAATAAGCGTCCAATTACCATGACGTTACGCGGTAATGAGGTAACAATGGTAACTAATGAATGAAAACTTCACGCAATTGTATGGGCGTTGCAGAATTTACGCAATTACCTGTACGGTGTCAGAAAATTAAACATTTTTACTGACCACAAACCTTCAACCAGGAAAGGAAAATTACGTTGCTGATGCTCTATCACGACAACATGTTAATGACTTAGAAGATTCGCCAGATTCAGATGTTGCCACTATTAATAGTGAGGAATCCCTCACTTATACGATAGATACAACAGACAAAACAGTCAAATGTTTTAGGAACCAAATCGTAATTGAATAATCAGACTTTCCATCTTTAAAAACTCTCATACTCTACTTTAAAAATAAAATACGACACACTGTCTCTATTACAAACCTTACAAGATATATTTAAAGCAGATGCCAATATTGGCTTCCATTCAA